TCAGAGACAGTGGCTCGCTTCTCCCTCGAATGTCTCGGGTCATTCGACTCATTTTGGTGTAGTCAAAGGTGCAAGTGATGAACACCGCCCCCACACTCAGATGCGCCTCTGGAGCAATTATTGTGAACGCACGTACCCTCTGTAGTCGGCCATCCTGGAATCTCAAGTAGTCGGTCTCCAGAAATGACGGGTACGTGCGATTTTGCCACGAAGACGAGTCGAATACATGGTAAGTCAATGAAACGACTGGTTCCATTTTCCAGAACGGCGAAACCGCGTACACACAGCGTACACTCGCATTCTGATTGGAATATATCACAGGAACCCTACCCAACGCACATTGATTATAATCAGGGCGGAATTCTTGATCTTTTTCTAGTGGTTTGTGATTCAGCTGCATGTACACCATGCTTTCGTCTGGCATCACATATAATTCACGTGGTCGGAATCCGCCATCGCGTTTGGCGGAACAGGCATATATTCCGGAGTCCTCATAGTCAGCCTTCTCTTTCACCAGACGGAACACCCCGTGGTTGTGTTTGAAAAACCTCAACTTATCCGCCAGTCTCTCATCCTTCGGACCATTCTCCTTCTGACTATGCCAGCAGTTCATTGGAATCCCGTGCTTCCCCGGACCTATCATCTCTATTTCCTCACCAATTTTGAGAACGGCATTCCAACGGACAGACAAAGGTGCCAACTGGTAGGTAGGTTGCGTACGGAGTTTTGACTCCTGGGACGAGGTGGGTGAGATGAGCTGTGGATGAGCGGCTTTCTCGAACCATCTCCGCACTCGTTGCTTGAATACCAACTCCTCCGCGCTTATGGACAATGTATGATCATAGGCATTCAAAATCACATTCATCAAAGCCACATCTGCAGTGGAAAAAACACAAGACGCCTTGCGATATTCAAAGTTGCGTCCACGGTTCTCATCATACAAAGCAACGTGTTTGAGCACTTCACTGGACTGCTTCACATTGCCCACAAACTCGTTACTACAATGGCGGAAGTGCACAGTGTTCCCTCGGTAAAATACCGTCCACGTGAGCATAACGCCTCTCGGAATCCCCATAAACACGACGAAGTCGAGCGTTTGTCGCCCTTCTCTTAGAATCAATGGATCGAAATTGTGGTCGAACAAACTCCTGTTTGCGTCCACTGACTCACGTGCTTGAAGATGTTTGGCCAAGTCATGGTCAGACGCGTTCACCCTGTTAAGCAGGAACCCGCTCGTGAGCGTTCCTTGATGTACAACCGTGAAGACTGCGACAAACTGAATTCCTTGGTGGTCTGTAGTAGGTCCGCTTGATCACGCACCAAACGTTCCAAGACTAGTGTGCACGTGAGACGAGTGTGGTCCCAATATTCGGCCGGTTTGGCACCAGCAATCCGGAATAGTGAAGTCGTTTTGAACCTGTCTTTCAGTTTCTCCAGATTCCGCCTCAGCTGCCTGTGCGGTAAGGGCGCATAAGTTTGCCCTGTCTTGACGTAGGTCTCATACACTAGGCTGAAGTTGGTGATTGTATCCAAACCTGGAGCTGTCATTATTCTGCACTCTACCTCGGCAGTTTGAAATGAAAGCAAAACCGGTTTTCCGTCCGGTCTGGAAGCAAGTTTCTCAAACACCACATTCAGTTCGATCTCTTTCGGGTCTGGCAACACCACCAGACGACGTGTTGCTCCCAGAATGTCCGATGTGCAGTTCACACACGCACGACATGTATAGAGCCCTGAGTCATACTGTGTCACCTTCGATTTGCTCAACCAAAATGTGTCAGGTTTGCCTGTTCGAATTTTCGTAAAACCGCTAGGAGTTGGGACCGCCCTCCTGGTTTTAACCACCTGAAAAACGCACTCCGTTTGTTCAAAAGATCCAGCTTTATATCGCCACAACATTTTCGCAGTGGCCCCACTATTGACTGTGGCAGACCAACCAACTTCGAAACGAACTAACTGATGTGTGCTGTTCGAACCTGTCTCGTGTGTTAATCTCCTCGGCCACGGTTTGATCTGGGATCCTAGCTCGGCGATGAATCCCGCCGAAAGTGACGCCTTTGTTTTCGTTTCGATCAGCATCTCCGTTTTCTCCCTGTCATATCGTGTAAATACGCTGAGGACCATCGCAATTGTTCCAGGCATCAGCAGGCACTCGAAATTCGCCTTCGTAAGTAAAAACCCACAATGCTCCTGCATATCACTGTTTGATTTCAGGTGTGACGTTTCATTCACTTCAGGTCGCTTTGTTTGCACATCACAAACAGAGGATTCCACTTTTCCATTCGAGATTCGGATCAACCAGACAGACAACCAACTGTCCACAGGGTAGTGCAGACCGATAAACGAACCAGAAACGTAGCCTTCATGGACCCGGTCTCCAATTGTGTTAGGTGTAAATGCAGTTTTGTCGGTTACGCTGCTCACAGGTTTTCTCAGTGCAAGAGCCATTTGGTCGTACGTTGAAAATATTGTGTCAGCCAGTATGATGGGTCGCAAACCAGAACTGGCGCACACAACTCTAGCTGACTTCTGTACTGTCCATTCATCCGGAACAGGCGGAATGTGACGCACAACTTCGAAGTTTTGCACGTACCGATAACTGCACTCTAGTTGGTGATAGCTGATTTGTCCATGCACGAACAATCCGCGAATTTCGTAGGAGTGAATCTGGGTAAACATACTGGTGTAGTTGATTGTTTTGTTGTGCAAGGATCCATAGTCCACACTTCTGTTCTGCTCACGCAATGTGTGACTGAACCGGTAACCGTTATAATTGTCCAGATTCCGTGACAAATTGTAGACGCAGTTCGCAACGAGTGATGCTGAGCGCAAAATGTACGGCCGTCCAAGAGCATCCGTATTGGGGTATGCGTCACTCAGTTTGTCTGCGCTGTCTATTGGTTCGGTCGATAGATATAGGCTCACATCTTGAGGCCTTGGCAAGACGATCACGTGGTGGTCGCGAATGAGTGGATAGGACAGCGCAGAAGTCGTGCAGCTGTACACTCCACTATCCGACACATCGGCGGATTCGATTTCCACAGCATTGTCTCCCTGCTTGCACACCATTCTCGGTGTACGCACATACCTGTTTGTTGCTACCTGCTTCACCTGGCACACCACGTCTGACCAGCACCGGTCAGTTCCGCTAGAAATAGTAATCCTGAGCGAGTCTCCAGCACGGAAAATGGCGTTTCGCGAGAGAACCACACGCACTGCGCGCATCCCTTCGGAAATTTGACCGGTGTATGGGGCATCCTGACCCAAGACCCACTTTTCCATGGGAGTCCGAAGAAGTGGAGTTAGGTATACGTCTTTTGACACAAGGTCTCCTCTCATCTGTAACAGTAACAATCCCCTAGTGAAACGGCTTAGAGGTACGATGTAGGTGTGGTAAACAACGTTACGGTACCAATAAACAGACTGAAGTGTTATTTCACTGAAACCGCGGTACTCACTCCAGGCATTCGGATAATGACTCTTCGTGTGGTTGGCCTGGCGCAATATTATTTGATCGTTATCATATACATCGAATAGGAAAAAGACTGGCAACGCGCCATCCACATCAAAGCTTTTTACAGTGATCTCGATAGTCGTGTATTCCCTCTCATTCAAAACGGTATTGTTGAACGTGGTGAAATCCACCGAGCGTCTTTCAGGTACGGAAATCAATTTTGCCAATGACGGGGGAGTAGACTGGTGACCACTTGCGGCGATCTCGCAGCAGACTCGACACATTAAATAGTACGTATCAATATAAGTGTATTTTCGTATACCAGATGGAGTAGATAAAGTGAATTGTACCACACTTTTTTCGGCATCGCCCTTGATCTGATAACGATAACGGAATTCGTAATTTATTTCCATTCTATCCCAGTAGGTATAATAGTGAAAAAATCGACGATAGCATCCCGACCAGCTTTCGAATAAATACAACCAATCTTTGAAAAGATTTTTATCATATTTACAGCAATCATCAAGCGATTGGGGATAATCATACTTGCAAAGTAAAAAGGTGTGATTGGTGTGAATATTGTAAATTCTTGCTTCTCGGATTTTCGCACTAGACTTCACTCTAAATCTTAAATAATAGGACATCCACCATTGATCCCAATGATAATACCACCTGGAGTCAACATTATATGGCACACTAGTTATAGTCGTAATCCTCCATAAACCGACCGGTGACACACAGGTGACATGGTACATAAGGTATCTTGGGACAGAAGCACTCAGCATACCGAAATAAATTCACCAACCGAAAGAACAAGTAGAGGGATGCTATACCACCGTGGTGCATGCAGCGTTGCTTAGTCCGAGACTGATGCGTATTGATCTGTGCCAGTTTAAATCCGGCAGTTCGATAAGAGATGCGTTTAGGTTATGACACAAAGGCATGGGTCCAGTGATTGCGAACACGCGTCATTGGTTAGTATCATCACAAAATAGTATTCACAAAATACTGACAGCTAACGGAGAGCATCCGTTGAAACTCATAGTGATATGTAGATACAACGTGTCACAAGCTGCGGCAAGTTGTCGGTCTGTTCCGTCGTGGCATATGCGAGTGCATCGTGTTTCGTACACTGTATTTCTATCAGCAGTGCGCCCAAAATTTCACGGAATAACCATGTTTACCAGAACACACTACTCATAAGATTGCTGAAAATTCTTCCACAGCCCACCAACCACCTCACCCTGTTAGGGGCTCCTCAGCAAGACGCTGTTGCCCAGTTTCCACCAACCTTCTATTCCGCATAAGCTGCATGTAACTGGCGAAATACACTCATTCCCAACGGGAGACTCAACTGGGCTCAAGTGAAGGTGCTGTACACAAGCACACTATTTATCACTGAATAAATCGACTGAATGATGGACTGACTCATCGAGAAAGGATTTTGCCTGCTCACTCGGCGTGAATCACTTTGTAAAATTAGGTTTAGAAATTGACCGAAAAAGAGTAGAACTGGTTCTGTTAATCTGGAGTATAGCGGCCATACACGGCATAATGGACTTCCCCATATGTTCTTCGTACGAAATTAGATTGAGGTATGAGACTCCATTTCAAAAGTTGCCGAGCATTATCACTGACCATTCAAACATGAGTCGGTCGCTGATCTATCCTGATTTTAGGACAGCCATCTGCTGAGTTTGAGTCAATGCTCAGTCTTGTCCTCTGAGGCTAGTCAGAGGGTGAAAGACAAAAATACTAACAAGTCTCGTGGATAACCTGGACATTTTAATTAGGCCTTTCTATTAATTCCTCCTTTCAAATCAAACAGATCTATGTATTTGTTTGCTGTTCTGTTCACCGAGCATGTCGGCTGGGTCGCAGACTTTCCATCACAGTCCAGGTGACATCGTCAGTGCGGCAATCGGTGGGTAGGTTCATTCTTTTCTACTTGTGCGTATGTAGTTTCTAAACGGTATCTGCTAGCTCTAAAGTGGTCGGTCCGTCCGGAGGTGGTTTCCGAGGAAATTTGTTGATCCGCTTGGAATCTGAGTTGCGTTGTGTGGGACGCGTTTTGGCTATAAAGTACTCGCCTTTCCACAAGTTAGACGGAAGGTTGGCCAAAATTGTAAACCACATTCGTGGACTCACCACCAAAATGTGCGAAATGCATTCCTCTGAGCTCGCGTGAATTATGGATCGATTGTAATGAGTTCACAGATGTCAACACCTTATTCACCAGCGCCCATTCGCATCAGTGTAGTTGTGCGATTTGATTACCGTCCACTAGGTTCCCAAATGCATCTCCCCAGTATATTTAAATCAACTGATTCTCCTGTATCATGAAAACATCT